TATATATATATATATATACACATATACATACATACATACACACATGCATACACACGCACACACACACACATACATATATATATATATATACACATCAAACATACAAAAGCTATGCGATATTTGCGCCACACGAAAGGGACAAAATAGGCGGGCAAAATACATAAGAAATATTGGACACTAAATAAAAAAATATCGCGTATTCGGAAACTATAATGAAATTCTTATAAATAATTTGTCTATAATATCTAATTGTGGTTTAGTTAACAACGAACTATAAAAAAGAAAGTAATGCAAGAAATATGAAAGAACTATTGACACAGTTGATTGCGCGATTATCGAAATAAAAAGCGCAAACAAAAAAAGAGAATTTTATTTCTTTTTTAGTGAGAATGAAAAGAATCGCGGTAAAATTGTGCATACAATCGCACTGTAGACGAATTACCCCACTCCTAAACCCCCGACACCAATTGCTCGGATGATATTTACCTGATAGGGATGGGCCTGGTGCTTTTCGAAGTACCTGCAATCATAGAAGATAAATGGTGAATAGAATTACAAGACAGCGGACATTCCAGGATGGAAAATAAAATTTCCATCGAGGAAAATCTCCCGCGAATGGCGGTAGTAGTAATGTCGAGTGGGTCGGATGGACGGACTTTGAAGATGAGAGGTGAGGTGAGTAGAGGTTGGTTGTGTCAGGATTGGGTATTTGACGGCGGTACCCTACCCATCGCTGATCCTTTGTGGTTTCCTCGCATGCATTACCATCAATGCCGGTGTCTGTGGGAAATTCGCGGCCTCGGATGTTCCCTTTTCGGTTGGTCAATGTCATAAAAACAACATTAACGCTTATTTAACAGTCAACTTTCTTTCTACCCGGACGCCATGTCACATACGTGATCGGCCGCTAGCGGTTATTATAGTCGAAAAGTTCGAGTAACGTCTGCGCTTCGGTGTGCACTTCTCTATTCAGGAGCGTATATACTAAAATCTTTGAACTGATCCATTTAACTGCACGTGACAGTGTGTGATCTGTGTGCTTTAAAATTCTTTTGTCAATTTGATTGATACATTTTATATTTAAATTACGTAAAAACTTATTAATTTTATTATTAACATAAATAAAATGATTATAATATTTGATGAAAAATTCATTTGTGAAATTTACGTGTAAATTCATAATGGAAATGATTATATTTGTTCATATATAATCATGAAAATTACATAATCATATTATTCTATTCATTTTTTAAATATCATATATAGAAAAAAATATATATAAACTTTTTTTTTTACTTTAAAGAAATTTATATTCGTTATAAATGTAAAAATGTTCAAACATTAAATTTAAATAATTCTCACAATGACTGTCAGTTATACAATTATAATTTCTAAAATTTGCATTTATTGTAATAAATGAAGAAAAAGAATTTATCAAAATATAATAACATTTCAATATAATATATCGTCAATTTCATTATCAGTAAAAAAATATTTTTAAATTATCAACAATGCATTGGGGTTCTTTAAAGGGTGCGGCCGTACCTGTATTTGTAATTTCCGTAGCAACGCTCAAATTGTTAAGATAACGGCGGCGTTGATTCAGCATTGACGCGAGGCGTCGTGTTTTACTCGAAGAGCTATCATAAGTTTCGAGCACATCGACAACAGGCGGCGCAGGTTGCAATAAATTTACAGTTGTATGCGGCTATGCTGTAGAAAACGTAAAGAACTAAAGCTATGAGACGCCTTATTACGACAAAATGAAAGTGATGATCGTTTCCGTTTAATTTCATTTTGTTGCAGGTATGTAGTAGTAAATGATATAACAATGCATATTAAGAAGCGAAGATTATTTAATCTTTGTATTTTCGACACGCTTCTAAAAACAAATGCACATTCAAGGAAACTTGTGTTCTTTCATTGTTGATTGTTATTATTTAGACTTTTACAATATAACATTGACACGTGGTTATATTATGAATTATAGTAATATATAATTATATTAAATATTATATTAACATGTGTACGTTTATTGTTAAATTTTATTTTCTATAATTTGATTAATTTATTTTAAGAAAAATACATATTTTTTATCTTATATTATATTAATATACTATATATTATTAAAAGAATAGTATATTATTATAATGTAATATTACATGTAATTATATTAGATTTTAAATTTTAATAAAAATAATTTTTAAATTATAATTTATTCTATATGATACAAATATATATAATACATTCTATTCTATATGATACATAAGATACAAATATAAATAATTCTTTTATTTCAAATTTAGTAAATAATTAATCGATAAATATTGAAAGAGATATAAAAAATATAAAAAATATATTAATAATTAACATTCTTTCAAATTTATATAAAAATTATATATTTTTTTAAATGTTTGTATAGTTTAAAAATAATTTTTTAATTATATCTAAATTTAATATTCAAATTTTATATTATATCTCTTATATAATTATAAATGTAATTATAATGTAATTATAAATGATAATTAAATATAATATTAATTTTAATAAATTTACAGCAGATTTTTATAAAAAAAAATAATGGATAAAAGAAATAAAGTAGATTTAATATTGACATGCAATAATCCTATAAGTATGTCAAAAAAATATATAAATCAAGAATATATAATTAGTCATTTCAATGATATTAAATCATGTGAAAATATATTTCTATGGCTTGATAAATTTAATAATCTAATGTGTTCATCTGTGGGACATAGAAGTTATGAATTATTAAAACATTTACTTTTCCTTTACACACAGTAAGATTATTATATTTTCTAAGAAAAAATATATTATATATATATATATTTAAAGAAATGAAAATGTATATATAATATATAATATACAAATGAAAAAATTATTTACATTGAAATATAATTTATATAATTTAAAACTAATATTAATTAATATTATGTATTTTAGAAATATTTTAACTAATATAAATACATATTGTGAAAAAGTATTGGATATGACAAAATTAAAAAATCATCTGAGTACTACATTAACATTTTTTCATCTTTATTGGAATGATATTAAAGAGGTATTATTAAATCATTAATTATGAATGTAATAAAAATGACAAAATGATAAATATTAAAAATTTATTAATAAATGTTTTTAATAGCATGTTAATGATTACAACTCGTATTTAAATGAAATGTCAATACTATTAGGAATATACATAGATATAGAACTTAAAACTTTTACACACACTATGGATTCATCTAAAATTGCTTCAAAACTGCTTTCAGCATTATGGATATATCTAAGTAAGTTAAAAAAAATCATTTAAAATTTAAATAAAAAATATTAAAGTATTATTTTTATTCTAGGTAACTCAGAAAAACATATTTTTAGAGTATTGCTTAAACTAAAATTTGTTACTAAAAAATATTCAAAAATTTTTGATTTTATATTCATGTATGTAAATATTTAATATCTTCTACTTTTTAGTATAAAGTTTTCTTACATAATATAAACTATTTTTCTTATATTAGGAAAAGTTTTACTAGTTTCAAGAAAAGTGTAGAATCTTTAACAGATGTAGAGTATGTTAGATATTTACTTGTTCTAAAAATATGGAAAAAAATGAAAGAAACTATAGAAGAAAAAAAGGAAGTGAATAAGATAGCTTTAACAATATTAGGTCCATGTATTCCAAAAATGCGAGATGAATTATTGAAAATTATATGTAAAATTCCAACAGAATTTGAAAATGGAACTCTTGCTCTATTACAACCAAATGTATTTAATTTAAAAACTGCATGTAATAATTTTTTAGTATTTGAAGAAGCAATTGAATCTAAAGATAATTTCATAACACAAAATTCTGATTTATATTTACAGGTAAATTTTTTTATTAAAAATTATAAATTTATAAATATTATTGATTATTTTGATTCCGTTATTTTTAGGATTTATATAGTGTTCAAAAAAGTTTTATAAACTGTGAATTAATAAAAAATAATACAGAAAATAATCATGCTTTTAAAGATGGAATAAAAAATAATAAAAATAATGATGAACTTCTCCCATCAAGAAACAAATTTAAAAATTATAAAAAGATATCAAAATTAAAACCTGGAGAATTAATTTTAATTGATTTAACTAAAGAAGATGAACTAAAAACAGATAAAAAGAAAAGAAAGAAAAAATGTCAAAGAAATTTAGAATGGTTAAAAATGGTAAAGAAAAAATATAAAATACAGAAACAAATTGATGAACTAAAACATAGAAATCAAATAAAAATTTCAGATGCTCATAATATAAAGAACTCTGAAAATTTTTCCCATAACATTCTTCTTGAAAAACAACTAATTTCAAATAATAAGATTAATGAAAATACAGAAAGTAGTACTTTAATGGAAAAATCATTTCAGGATAATACTCATAATTTAAAAAATACACAAGATTATATTCTCAATAAAAATGAAGTAAAATATATGTTTCAACATAAACAATGTGATACATGTAATTCATCAACAAAACAAACTGATACACAACTCAATAAAGTTCTATATTTGCTGGAAATTCTAAGTACTATGGGACAAAATATTAAAGAACCAAGAACTATATTAAATCTATTGAAAGAAAATAGGAATGAAAATAAAATGTCTTCTGAATATAACATTTTTTATAAAAATATAATTAATGAATGTAATGAAATGAATACTCAACAAGAAAGTTCCATAAAGACAATATTATTGTCAAAGGAGTGCCAAAATGATATTACAGATGTACAATCCATAAAACAAGAATTACCAACAAATATAGATCTTAATGTGATAGAAAAAAATACTTACTGTCAAAATGAATCTATTTATGTACAAAGTGATGGTCATTTGCAATCCATGAATAATCCAGAAATAATAGAAACCATGAAACAAAATATTGCTCATGAAATTCATGAATGCACAAATTGTTGTAAAAAAATTGATATAAAACCTTTTTCCTACCATAACAATAGCATATTTAATATCACAAAAAATGATGTGGCGCAAAATACAGTAGATAAGGATGCTATTGGTAAAACATCAATTTGTGACAAAAATATAATGTGTATATTAAATGATCTTGATAAATGTATGGATGTTTTAAATCGTATTGGTGAACATATTATGACTGTTTATGCGGAAAAACAACAAGTTTTGGAAAATGAATCTACAGAATCATCATCAAAATGGATACAAAACATCAATTCATTGACAAATGCAGAAAGAGAAGAACTTAGCAAAATTTTAAAATTTCATGGAAAAAAAGACTTATTAAATATATGCAAATGTCAAGATATTAATTTTTTGGATAAACTTTATAAATCAATATCTCAATCAGAAGAATATTGTTCTCATGGAAAAAATAATATTCTTCTCGAAAACAAATCACTTTCAAATTCTATAGGTAACTATATAAAATCTAAATTTGAACATCCTATTAAAGAAGAAAATAATGAAAATTTTGAAATTTTAAAAGATAAGATATTGAAAACAAATGAATGTAAAATTAGTACATCAATAGATCAGATATGTGATATATCTTCTATACATGATTTGAAAAATACTAAAGAATTAGATCGAAATATAAATTGGGAAATAGAAAATTCTAAAGTAGAAAATTTGCCACAAAAAAATGATGCAAAATCATGTTCTGTAGATGAATTTGAAAATATTGATATTTTAGATAGTATTCTAAATGTACATATAACTATTAAGGATGAACAAGAAATTTGGGAAAATTCACAATCTCCATTGATGTCGCCAATTAATTATGATAATTCAAATAGTGTATTAGATTGTATTAAAGATTTTTTTTCACCATCTGAATATATACATTCTAATGAAACAGAAGAAAAATATATTTTATCAAATACAGAAAATTCTCAAACATTATTACCTGAAGGTAGTCTTGGAATAACTGGAATATTAAATAGTTTATTTGATTTTGATTCTCCTTCAAATGATTTTATGTATTCAAATACACAGGCAATTAATCCGCGATTAATTAAAAAAACTTTTAAAGATGAAATATCAACAAAAAATTCTAATATATCTGAATTGAATTTTGAAGAAAAAATTACAGAAAAGAATGATTTAGAAAATACATTTTTACAAGAAAATAAGGAATTATATAATCAAAATCGTTATGTTGATGATAGTATGGATATAGTTGGATTTGGATTGAACTCAAGTGCAGAAGAAATAATTGATTCTTATTCATTGAGTAAAAGTATACCTTCATTTTCTGATCATTCAACTGTTTTAGTCAATTCAGGTAACATATCTTCTGAAGATAAAGAATTATTTCCTAAATACAGTCTTTCTAGTCCTACTGATAAGTTTAATACTGGTAATTTTATAGAAAAATCATATATTTTTCAAAAAAAAGATATTAATCAAGTTCAACCACTTAGTGATACAAAAAATCAAGATTTATCTGAAATTTGTATTACTAATAACATTTCATCAAATATGAATTATATATTAAATCAATCAAGAGATAATGTTCAGTCATCACAAAAATATGCATGTACAGAACTTGAAACTAGTCCTTTTATAAAAAAACAATCTTTAGATTCTTGTGATTTATTGTCTTCCACAGATTCAATATCATGTAACATTGATACAACATTTCAATGTGTTAAACAAAAACATAAAAATTCTATGAGACAAAGAAATATTCAAAAAACTATGCAATATAATAAAGAAAAACAAAATCATATTACAAAACGTAAAATAAAAATTAGTACACAATCTAAATTACCTAAATGGACATTAAATTCTAAAAGAAAAATTAAAATGAAAAAAAAAGAAAAAGAATCATTTACATCTATTATTCAACCCAATCAAGATGAATTAAACTTAAGATGTTCAGAAATTACTATTATCAATCCTTTGAATTATCAAAATATACAAAATACATGTGAATCACCATTGTCAACATTTCAAATGTCATATTGTCAAACATCTCCTAAAAATTGTTGTACATCTAAAAAGAAAAATAAACAATTAAATTACCCAGGGGTAAAACATATGTCTCAACAAAAACAAATTTTATTTAATCTTTATGAAGATTCTATGGTGGATACAATCTACAAAGAAGATTCCAAATTAGAAAATCCTCAAGATATTATGGAAGACATCTCAGAAGATTCAAGTATATCAAATATATCTGAAAAATCACATATATCTAAAAATAAATCTTGTTTCAAATTATCAGAAAAAAATATGGAAATTGATACTGATATAATCAAAGCAAATCTCATAACAGATAAGAATACAACTAAAGTTTCAAATAATATTGGAAAATCTAATGCCAAATGGTCATTACAAGATATAGATATGCAACCATCAAATTCTATTAAAGAACAAATAATTACAACTTTGAATGAAGATATATCTTTGAAAAAAAGAAAATTACAATTTCAAAATTTTATTCAACCAACTTCAACAAATGGAATTCTTTGTTCTATAAATCAGCAAAAAAATAAAAAAAATCATTGTGTCTCTATAAAAAAGAAAGGTAATTTTACTTTAAATATTCTTGATAATTTGTTTTACTTTAAAAATAAACTAATTCTTATTTTAAAATTTATTTTATTTTCTATGTAGTTTTAGAATATCATCATGTTGAATAAATAAATATAAATTTTGTATAATTAAATATTTTTATGAAATAACTATATTATGTATAATAAAATTTATATATATTTCACATTTTGTCTACATATTCAAATAATGGCATCAAAAACACAGTGTGGTAGTTTTATCAAATAGAGAAGTTTTAATATTTAATTAGATTTAATATTTTAATATTAAATTTCAAAGACTCCAAATTAATAATTCTCCTCATGGAAGATCAACATTGGAAGACATTTTATTGTTTTGAGTGCCTTTTAAACATCTTATAAGTAAAATATTTTATATAATCAAAAATGCATTTATGCATAGAGAAGAATAAATTTTATGTCATTTTGCAATTCAAGACTGATATTTAAATTTTAGTAACACGGACATTAAAATGTAAAAAGAAAATTAAAATGAAAAAAGAAGAAAAAGAATTATTTTTATCTATTGTTCAATTCAATCAAAATGAATTGAACTTAAAATATTCACTGAATATTATTATGAATTATCAAGATGTGCAAAATACATGTAAATCACTATTGTTAACATATTTCACATATTGTCATATTGTCAAACATCATCTAAAAATTATTATACATCTAAAAATATACACAAACAACTAAAATGTGCAGGTGTTCAACAATTAAAACGTATATCTCAACAAAAAGAACAAATTTTACTAAGTTTTCATGAAGATTCTATGATGGATACAATCTACAAGGAAGATTTTAAATTAGAGAATTCTCAGTCTACCATGGAAGATAACATCTTGGAAAATTCAAGTATGTTAAATGTATTTGAAAAATCACATACACCTGAAAACAAAGTATTTTATTTTAAAATATAAAAAAAAAAAACATAAAGATTAATATTGATGTTATCAAATTGAATCTCATAACAGAATATAAATATAATTAAAATTTTAAATAATATTATAAAATCTATCATCAAGTGATCATTACAGAACATAGATACATTATTAAGTCCTCTGAAAGAGCAAGTAATTATACTTTTGGATAAACATATACTTTTGAAGAAAAGAAAATTAAATTTTAAAATTTTTTTTCAACCAACTTCAACTTTAAAAATAAATGTAATTGTTTACTGCACAGTCAACAAAAAATTTAAAAAAGAAACAAAATGTTATATATCTTCAAGAAAAGGTAATTATTTGAAATTTTATTTTATTTTCAATATAGTTTGAAAATATTATCATATTAAACAGATACGCGCGCACACATGACACATATTCATACATACCATATTGTAACTTTTATAAATTAATTTTAAATATATTTTCATAATTTTTTATAAATTAACTATATTATATGAAATAAAATTTATATGTATATTTTATCTATTTTTTAAATAATACTATTAAAAATATAATGTAATTTTATTATAATATAAACTTTATAAGTTTATATTTAGTTAGTTTAACATTTTGACATTTTAAAATAAAAATAAAATATTAATAATTCTCTATATAGAAAATCATACACAACAATGAAAGATATTTTATTTTTTTGAGTATTTTATACATATTTTATAAATAAAATACTTTATATAATCAAAAAATGCATTTATGCATAGAATTTATTACAGTTTGCAAATACAATATTTGCATAAATTAAAATATGATAATATGATATACATTTTGTCTATATTTTATATGTCTCATTACAAGATAAAAATATATTTTATAAAAATTATTTTAAAGAAATAATATTAAATTCTTAAA